ACCAGGGAAGACATAACAAGCAGCATAGTATAAGACGTACGCAAGCGGTGTAGTACATGATATCAGCTGTGGGTTTTACCTGCTGCTCCAAGGAGAGCCAGCAATTTTGCAGATGGGGCGCGCAACAACGGTAATTAGGAGTTCAGGGTGTGCAGGGGCTTTTCTAATGGCTCCCGAGGAAGGATAATCTACAATGGCCCTACTTAGCTGATAACACATGATCTGACCTCTGTCAGAATTGGCAATTAGTGAGCGAAAAGAAGCGTAAACAGGTGGCCTTTGAAATCGACAAATGCATTAATTACCGATACAAGCGAAGATGCGAGTTCCAGGAACTAGTTGATCAGAAGAAGAAGAAGAAGAAGAAGAAGAAGAAGAAGAAGAAGAAGAAGAAGAAGAAGAAGAAGGAAGAAGCGATCAGAAGAAGCGACCGTTTTCTGCTACTGTCTCTGATGGTGGATTCAAGTGAGAATCCGAAACGTCAGGCGAATAAAGACCTTGTTCCAGCGATCGCTTCTTCTTCTTCTTCTTCTGACCAAATGCATTCATGCCACATTTAGGGGGGAAGGGAGTGGGGCGTATCCCCTTGTCGAAATGGAGCGGACGCGAGACTTCCCAACGGTCGGCAACACGTAGATCCCCAAATCGCAAGTCAGGGAAGACAGACTTGGTTGGACAGCCTTCACGGATGTGAAAGAGCGTACAGGAGGCTCAGCAGGCAGTCGCCGTAAGCTGTCTCTTCAGGCAAGTGGTGTCAGCATCCGTCGTCGAGGTTATTAGTTTTCATCACGTGTGAGCCCCTGCTCTGTCTGATGAGTCCGCCTGTAGTCAATCAGCAAAGGAATGGCACTGTTTGGCTTGGTGTTCTCGCGAGGCCAGCGTCGAGCCTCGCGTGGCCGTAGCAACGATTCAACAGAGAGCGTGTGGTGGACAGAAGAGCAGCGTGATAAAGCGGCGGCGATCAAGGGAGCGTGCCGTCGCACCCCCTCATTCGGACAAGCACGTACAGACATTTTCCAGTCCATCCAAGAATAGAGAAAACGAAGAGGTCTGCAACGCCAATCTCCTGAGTGTTGGCTGCCGTTCTACCCCCCATATGACACGGCAATCAGCAGTACGTTTTAGTGGTTAACTCAATCACAAAGAGTTTGAGATGCGACGCGTGACTAGGACGTGTTTATAAGATGGCACCGTCACCAAGGGCTGTGCACAAAATAATTCCACCAGTGATGCCATCTGCACGGAAAGATTTAAGAGAATAAGCAAAGCCAAAAACGACAGTAAAGACAGGCACCCTTATGAGCACCTTTGCTGGCCGCCTCTTCGCTGCCGAGACCATTTTCAGTGAAACACTTTCAATAGCCCGGCGGATCGCAATGGTCGACTCAGAGTACAAAACGGTAGTTTGAGTTTCTTCGGAAGTCATGACCTAAAGCGACTGAACTAACGCACACGCTCTTAAGGCACGAGGTAATTGCTAGTCTGAGTAAACTGGAAGAAGGCAGAATATTCGGCGAAGATGGCGAAAACGGCGACCTCCGTAGGACAGACACCTATGAACTGGACTGTCGTACAGGTAACAAGAAACCAGAGCGCATGGGCCCATTTTCAACAGACTGAATGCAAGTGCAAACAAACAGACAGATCTAGAAGCAGATCCCCATCATCTGCGAAAAGCATCAGGATGAAATGAGCCTAGACTTTGCGCCAGAACATTGATGCAAGAAACGGCAGTTCTGACCACCCCGTTGACAAGCGACGGTACAGTAGAGAGGCGAACGTAAACTAAGGGTTTCGTTCTAGGAAACTCGTCAAAAGGATGTTTGCGTCTACCTGGACTCGAATTGTCAAAAGACCCACCTTCATTCGCGTTTCAAGATTGCATCCTAGTTGCGTATTTTTCTTACGGATATGTGGAACATCTCGTCCTACGCACGTCAGAGTGAAACCCCTGCCAGCCGTATATCATGAGTAGAGTGAATGCGAGTGGAAAGTACGACGTTAAGGTTACGGATATACTCAACGAAGCAACCAATGAGGATGCATGGTTTATTTTTGTTTAACGTTTAGAGTTGCCTGTCAGCGGCATTTCCGCACTTAAACCCCCTCTTGAGAATAAACAGGCAGAACAAGGGGGTGCTCATCGACTGCGCTCCCTCGCAACCGACAGACTTTTCCGTCGGCGCTATTGATGACGTGTTGCAGCGTTGAAACTAGCAATCCTGGATGATATGGAGTTGAGGTTGTCCTCCTTGCACTGGTAAAGGCTTCAAATGTGTGCTGAAAACGTAGGCGCAGCTGTTAGTACTGTGGTTCCTTTGACAGACAGCCGAACACGCGGCGCTCATCGAGTGCGCTCCCTCACAACCGACACCACCAGCAGCATTACAGACTTTTCTGACGTGTCGCAGCGTTGAAACTAGCAATCCTGACTGATATGGAGTTGAGGTTGTCCTACTTGCACTGGTAGGGGCTCCAAATGTGTGCTGAAAACTAGAGTTACACAAGCGCATCTGCCAGTGCGGCTGTTCCTGTGGCATACATAGGGGGCCGCAGCAAGGGAATACATAACTGCGGGATGTTAAGATATACGAGTGTTTCGTGGAGGCTTAGAATGAAAAGACGGAATTAGACACTTTGCTTAGACCAGTCAATGGCTACTATGAGGTGCAAAACTGTCGTGTGAGTGGCGAAGCTGCCGTCAGTTTCCTGACCCCTGACTGCATAGTCTTCGCAAATAACTGTTTCAGACATCCCAAGGATAATTTGGCAGGCAGGCACCTAAATCGACTACGTGACCACCCGAACAGGCTGGGTTGATTGCGTGTTGTCTCCGAATACTGACATGTGCAGACATGGTAAGTCCGGCTAGGAAGTCAGCGTTGTTTAAAATCGAAGCCTGCAAGTAGATATGGTTGAACATTATCAAAGACAGTCACAGGTCTCCGTCTGAGTATCTCCAATCAGTTTGTCGCATTAAAGCAGAATACGGTCATCTCTTAGGCTTAACAACAAAGCGTTGTGAATTAAAGCATATTAGTCAAAGTAATCCGAGAGCGTAGGGGTATAACAGGCACTGGATGGAAGAATTAATCGACAACGAAAGGACCCGACCGATTAATCGTGCCAAAACTCTTTCTTGGTGAGATGCGAAAGTCAGGCATCGGCCGCACAACCACGTTATCTGTACTCCACGAAGGTAGTGAATGACGGCATGTAACTGCTTATGGCCTTCAAATGACTATGAATTTTTAAGCATTACAGTCCAACTGACGACCATGACAACCAAGGATAGCGGTGGAAGGTGGTAATACCAATACCGGGAACGACAGTGGAGCGAGCGGAATATATTCCTCAGCTTCTAAATCTAGCAGGTTTAGATCCCTAGGAAGTTTGGTCATAGCTCTGAATGTGATTCACCAGTTGCGGAGGAAGTCCTTAGTGCAAAACGAAGAGCAATACAGGCTTTTCTAAGATTTCGGCGCTGCGAAAGACTATATATCGGTGCGAAAATAAAAGAATAATTGCAATACAATTTGGCTTGAATCTAAGGGGACACGTAGCCATCGACAGAACCGACGTTGGAAGTACGTCAGCATCCAGAAAATGCAATGGACTACTGTACAACAAATGTAACACCACCAACACCCCGACAATTCCACTTTGCGGTCGATCCGTCGAAAGTCTACATTTGTGAAGCATTCAAATAGGATGATCGACGTCTAAAACTGACTAATTGTCGAGTACCGCCACGACCATTCAGCAAAGCGCTCTCGTGTGGGGTGATTTTGCGCTCATCGTGATACCGTATTATCTACTCTAAGACTGCGTGAGAAAACCCATTGTGGCTGATTCCAGCTTACTTACGCCGGACCGGGACTAAATTACGAATTAAAGACGAAGAGGATGACTTCACTCACGCCATCTCTAGCGTTTACCCTCAACCCGCGTAAGCGGACCATTCGGTATTGGCGAACACGTCGGTCCATGAACTACGGATCTCAACTACGTCGATGACTGGGGTGCTGGCGGGATTCTTCACAGTTGTGTAGTGACATCTTCCAGAAAGTTGTAAAGGCAGTCAATTGTGGTCTAGGAACGAGCTGCATAAAGACAGAGGTGGGATCAGGCAACAGATCTGCCAGGCGTTATGTCCTTTGGAACCGACGACCATTCAGCACAAGAACCAAGCTGATTGGCCGCGGCTACTGTCAAGACCGGCCTGTAAAACAGATGCGAGCTACTACCAGCCTATTCAAAAATACTAGCTGACGGTAGACGACTGGTAATATATTCTTGTTGGACACTACGTTCAGAGGAAGTTTGTTTGCCTCGCAGAAGTTTGTCCTGCTCTAAGAGCGCGCCCTTGAATACCAAACCTTTTGTGAGACTCCTGCGCGTGGTGTCGAAGAAAGTAATGTCCGCAGACAGCTGGTCCCGGCGTAAGAGGACGCCTAATCACGACTCGCTCTGTTACACTCAGATTTGGCAACAACTATGGAATGGCACTTACATGCTATTTTAACGATGAAGGGTCTTATGCAATGCTTGTTAACGACATCGTACGCAAGCAAACAAGGGTGGACAGAACACTGTTTTGCAGGAGTTCCCGAAGCACGCGCTTTACCGCACTGCGATTTGGCGTGGAAGAGACTATATTTGGTCCACTCTACCTACACAACCAATATACTGACGGGGAAAGTTAATATACTATCAGACACAACGTCGAATCCCTAAAGAGGTCAAAAGTCTCGGTAATTCGGATGCTAACACGATCCGGAAACGATGCCTTATAACTCCTTCGAGGAAGTCGTGTATTAATTCCTGCATTTAGTCATTTAATTCTAAAGGTAACGGGCCCGGCCTCGAGAATCAACTGTCCACGGAAGACAGAATACGACTTTTGGGTTGAAACAACAAAACCAAAAGGTACTAACAAACGTCTTATTCAAAGTAAAGATAAGAATAGCAATACTGATGCCATGGATCAATTGAATCGCTTAAGACGCGACTTTTTTCTTTTGACGTTTATACTTCAACTCAGGAGGATTTGGAACATTCAACCTAGCACGTAACTCATGAATATCCATTTCCCAGTATCGCTCAAAGAAAACACACATGAAGTTTCGCGCATGCAACCCTACACGAAGGGCAAATTCAAGTTGCGTTGAAAGATAGTTCTTCGTTTGGCTGAAGAGACACAAGGGGAAATTAGGCATAATAACTTGAAAACTAGGCAAGGAGTAGACAAGTAAATCTGAACTAAATCAGAAAGTAACTGAAATGCGAAAAATTGGAAGATGGGACTGAAAATGAACTTAATGAAACGATGAGTAACTGTCATATTTCCCGCGAAGAAATGGACGTTTTGAGAAGGACTCAATGAAACATCAGAGGATTAGAAATGCAGAAGACGACTTACACTGGAGCTAAACGTAGGGCTCCAAAATATCCGCCGAAAAGTCCAAGTGGCAGACTGCACTGCAAGCCCTCCACCCACTTGACGACTACTTCACCAAGCATATTTGTGGGTTGATTAAGAAGAACGTGGACCAAATCGTGAATTTCACGATAACGTAACATAACGTAGGCCAGGTCTACGTCATCTACGAAGTTAACCATCATTCGTTCATCCGGACTATAATGCTTTGGTGAGTCGATAAAATGTTGCGACGGCGTACATAGTTAACTAAAAAGTCTGAGTAGTGTCGTCCAAAAGTGTTCGGTGGAAGCTTTCGCAAATATTCAAGATCAACCGTATTGCTGCGAATGCGAGGTCGCTTGCTTAAAATATATAATATTAGTGGGAACCAACTCAAGGATCTCGCGCCCTTCAGAATCACCAAGCATGATTGATTGCATGCGTTTGATTGCGCATTTGCCAGAAGTCTCTCCAAACAATGAAATCAAGTCTATGATAAGCAACACCAGTTTTAAAGTACCAGGTCTCTGTGGATGCAACAAACATGCAATGCCCGAGCCGATAGCAAGTAGTGATTTCTGTAGAGAGGTGGTCGGAATATGGTCAGGATAAAGTTTTTCCTGAGCATCCAAATGAACCTAGTCGGAAATAGAAAATAAAGTAATTTTACGGTTCGGGCTGTAAAGGGAACACTGTTCATAGGTCTTGAACAGCCCATCCTAGGTAAGAACCTATAACAGACGAGCATAGTAAAGGTTAAAGTGACAATTTGGGGTATTACGAAACATTCTCACACCAGCGCCAATGAAAGTTCGCTAGCTCAGAATCGCCCAGGGTCGTAGATTTGAAACCCCAATTTCTAACCAGAAGACCCCGAAATGGTATGGATCGTCCTTTCGGATATTCCCGACGCCAATAACCCCAAAGTAGCACGTTGGAGGGCTCAGCGGACAGCACGCTCCAAATGGGAAGAGGCACGGAAGTAAAGAGTGAAGGAGGCGAGAAACGGGCGCAATTGATACGAGAGGACAGCAGTCCATCATACAAAGAAGGCAAGGTATAGGTGCAAACAAGGCAGCCAAATACATTGACGTTTCTGCCAAAACTATTAATAACTGTAACCAACTGAATACTGACACAGTATAAATCAACCGCACATGCTGTGACTAACAAAAATTCGCACCCGAGAGCAGCTAAAATTCGAATGAAAAATAGATCAAAAACAAATGATTGCTGCTGTATTTATTCGTAAAACATTTTTCAGATAGAAACCCATGACGAGTTGAGAGAAAAATGTAATCATGCTGATCACTGAATACGTGTTTAAATTTTCGTACGATAAAGACTAGGTCGACAATCTCCGAAGAGTCGTCCTGTTGCAAAAACTGGGGAAGAAACAATAAAAAGGTTCAGTGCTGATACTCATATAAACACCTACGAAGTCAAGTCCAACAAACGTACGCTTTCGATTATTTGGCATCAGGAATGTGAAGAGGTATTTTTTCTCTACAGGTGTCGTGCAACCGTTGAATAACCTGCCCAAGACGATTGTAATGTCTCCGTCTGTGGAGACATCTAAGCATCGGCTTAAAATACATATGCTGCAACGGTAAACGGACTATGTGACTTTATAATCATAACAACCGGCGACCTATGTGAATATAGGTCTACATTCAGCTGGTGCTATAGTTTTTTCCCATTATTGATAATTGTGTCAATTTTTTGTAACGAATAGGAGTTTAAAGGCTCAGGTCTATTCTTCTCAAATACGCAGAACTGAAGTCAAAAAAACGGAGGGAATAGTACGAAAATCAAACAGTTAATAAAAATATGTATGGGGTAGTGGGCTGGGCGCGTTCAGAGGTTAGGGGTCATAGTCTAGCTCTGTCAGGGGATTAGGGAGGAGAGGTACGGTGTCTGGCAATTAGCTACGTCTCCGTTTGATCGTTGTAACATGACGTGGCAGGAGTTGTGAACTCATGCTGAGTTCATCTCTGCCAAGGGGATCCTTAGCGCTTGTACAAGTGCTTTATGCACGCACAATGTTAGGTTAATTAACCCAATGGGCACTGCCTCTGCCGTCCCAAGTATCTGCTGAGGGAGGAGCCTTGAGTATCTCGCCGGCACTTTAAAGATGACGCCTCCCAAAAGCTGACGTGTCGAGGTCGCACATTAAGACTAGTTCCCACAAGAACTCCGCTACTTCGTCTTGAAGGTGTGGATAAACAAGCTTTGAAGTCCTCTCTAGCGTTCAGCTCAGTTTATTGCGGGGAATAGGCGTAAGCCTTTGAGTACCCTATTTACAACGTAAAAAATGTGTGGTATACAAATAAATGTTCTGGGTTGAAATAGTTCAAACACGCCCATAATGTCAGGACAATAAGAGAACGAGTTACAGGGGGTGAGCTCTACTTCTCATCGCTCTTGGTAATTTCGGAACATAAAAATGTCAAGATTCTTTTTAAAACTTGGTATAGATGGTGACATCAGAACATCTGCGGGAAGGACATTCCATGGTTTGACCACTCGAACACTTCACTTGTTGCAGTGGGGCAGGTTATGTCGATCGAACATCTAGGTGCCTATCCAATTGGATTTGTGTACTCTATTCTGCCTGGCTAAATCAAGGTGTGGAAATGTTAACCACTAACGCAAATGTGGCTCACTATTTTGACAGCGACCACCAGGTAGATGTTAGCTAAGCGTTTCGGGTCATCTATAAAGTGTCGGCGAGGTACTCCAGCCCCCTCTGTCAGCAGATACTTGGGACGGCAGAGGCAGTGTCCATACGGTTAATCGGCCTAACATTGTACGTGCATAAAACATTCGCACCTGCGCTAAGGCTCTCCTTGGCAAAGACGAACTCAGCATGTGTGTTCACAACTCCTGCCATATCGTGTTGCAACGATCAAACAGAGACATAGCTAATTGCCACACATCTTCCCCTCATCCTCCCCAATCTCCCAACAGAGCCAGACTAGAACCCTTGACCTCTGGACGTCCTTAACCCCCTCCTCCACGTTAAACTTTTGCTACCCTACCCTCTCTGATATTTATGTGCAGGCCAGCGGCTGAATCATCGAAAGCAAACGTTTGCCGCACTTGACTTCCAAAGGAATAGGTCTTGTCGTTCCTTTGCAAGTGAGTCGAGAATCCAAAAATAACTGATTTTCTTCGTGCATGCAGTAGAAGTCCGCAGAAGAGCAGGTCAGACCGAAGGTCTGGGAAGGATTTTATCGGATTAGAAAAGACCGGCGGCCTCCGCAGAATGCAGAAACCAACGGCCGTGACCGCGCTGAACATATAAATAAAAAAACTAAGTACGAAACGTCCGAATTATTGGAAAGCATCTTAAATTGCTAAAGTAATGCAACTGAACATGAGCACCAGCATAGTGGATGCGAAACAGAAAGTAGACATGAATTTATCTGCAAGACACCATTATGTTCCATTAATCCGCCAACAAAGATATGTGTTTACACTCATGCAAACAGGTAGATCGAATTGCGCCTGTCAGTATTACAACATGAAACATCCGTTAAGTAGAAACTGGTGAGGGTATAGTCATGAATTTGAGTTGGTCTTCTTCAGTGAGCCGTTCTTCGCCTAAATAATTTAATGACAAACCTTATACGTTTAAGGCCCCATGCTTGGAACTAATTCTACCGGAAACTCAACCAAAGATGCTAAATTTCTAAATTGCCTGTAGGCACTACGGGTTGGGGTGGTTTTTGAAGATTACACTTGGGTCGCAGACATGTCAATCTTAACTGAACTGACTGACTTGAAAGCTGACTCTTCCATAATAATAACTGTGTTCTTCATCATTTGCTAAGACTGCGAAGTTTGACATATACTGTATTGTTTTTCGGCACAAGATGCGATTAAAATGAACACATTTGCGTCCTCCGTACTAAGCACTTCCCGAAAATAGGTCTCCCGCGTTAAATGCGTGGTGTTCATGATAGACATAGGAACCCATTTATGTACGTACAGGCATATTATGCAACGTGCAATGAGTTTGTTGCATTCGATGAAAGAAAACTCTATGAAAATCTACTTCCGAAACTTATCAAGAGCAACAGAGAAGGTATAAAACGTCTACGTCGCATGCATGCATATATTTGAAGGGTTAGGGGCAGAGCCCTTGATCACCAAATTTATCTACAATGTTTTGTCAAATTCGCACTCAAAATAATGTTGCGGACATTTACAATGTGACCGGATCACAGTATAGTCGAAATGATAAGGAAGCGCACTTGTTCACTGTAAGTCAGTGCGGTAAGATTGTGTTTGTCAAAGTGTTTTACAGATCTGGTTGTCAGTAGTCATGTTGTAAAAGTCGGTTTTTGTTGAAAATCAAATGAGTAGGTTTTCTTTTAAATCTGCAAATTGTGTCCGCTGTCGCGATGTCACTTCGTAAGGAGTTCCATGGCCGGACATCCTGTTGGCTGAAGGGGTTGAAGAGTTCGGGAGGAAATATTTAAATGCACGTCTGATGCAGTATAAAGCACTACATGCCTTCTGGACCATCTTCCTACACTGTTCTGACGACACCAGATTTGCGGTCGTCCATACACTCAGATTTATGTGTTTTTCTGCAGTTTCTAATGTCGTCCCGTCAAAATAGTATTAATGTTTGGAAGAGGAATTTCGGCCGATGTTTTTGTGCAATACCACGCATTCGGACACGTTAAAGTTCAAAAACCGTCTGTTCGACAACACACTGAGTTTGTTGATGTTCCATTGTAACTTCTTTGCGTTATCATCGCATTTGACTTAACTTCAAATTTTCATGTCTTCAGCGAACATGAGGGCCTCGAAGTCCAGTTCGCTGATGCAATCACTAACATAAGTCAGGAAGAGTTGTGGGCCTAAAACAAAACCATGTTGGACACCCTCTTCCCACCTTTGTCCATTCCGAGGCAGAGTTACCAACGACGACTCTTTGTACTCTGGAGGACAGAAAACTCCTGATCCATTTAAACAGTCTTCCTTGAATGCCTGCATCCGGATCTTCTGCAAATTAAGCCTGTGTGGGACACTATCAAAAGCCTTTTTGAAAACAAAAAACATGACATCCACTGAATAACACTTATCGGTAGCCCTTGTCCATTTCTCGTGCGTGTAAAGAACACCCGTTGGACAGGAGCGTCCTGGACGAAAACCACGCTGCGCATCACACAATATTTTGTTGTTTTCCAGGTATTGCATCAAACGTTTTTTGATAATGTGTTCCACGTGATACAAAAAAGAGTGACGAGACGATAATTTCCGCAGTCAAGTCGTGAGCCTCCTTTGTGGATCGGAGTGATGAGTGCGCACTTCCATTCTTCCGGAAGCTCTCCTTCTTTAAATTATTTTTGAAATATTGCAGTTTGTGGTTCGTCTTTGACGAAAACGCGAAATAACTGCGGTCGAAGTTCACCGCCCTGAATGATCCTTCACCTCACGAATGTAGAGTTGGAAATAACATATATGCAAATTGGAATTGCATGTATATTCGTCTTATGGAAAGACGTAATACATTCGCTCGGGTAGTGTGTACGATGCTATCTAACAACCCCTGAGCTCTGGCTTTCAGTTATGCATCCACGATGACCTGCGAGAAACTGGAAGAACAAGACACGTAAAAATTTCAGCACGCTTTATCAAACAAACAAAGTTCACACAAAAAACAATTCCAAGGGGGGAGGGCAT